TCAGCGGCGCGGGTGGAGCGGAAGGTGCCCCAGAGGTGGTGGCGGCCAAGAAAGCCACGGCGTCGAGTGTGCGGAAGTGGAGAAAAGGGCTTGCGGATAGCGGGTTAAACGCGGGGCAGCGCAGCGTCGTTGAGAAGGTGGCAGATCGAGCGTTGGCGCAAGAATTCGCGAGGTCCGCGAGCGGCAAGAAAACAGGCCAGAGTCGTTCTGATATGCAGCCCCTCGTGTGGATCTTGCATGGTGGCCCCGGGACCGGGAAAAGTTTCGTCATAGACAAATTCGGAATGAGCTGTTCGAAAGGGAGCTGGGGTGGACGCACGGCATGCATTTTCAGGTGGCAGCGTTGCAGGCTACAAACGCGTCAGCTCTCGACGGGAATACGATTCACAGTGCATTTGGGCTGGGTGTGAACAAAACGAAAGAGAAGGACGCGGCGGGCGATGCCAACGCAGAGACGAAGAAGAAAACGAGGAAAGAGCAAGCGGCGCAGCGTATGTCACAGTGGAAGTGGCTGATTGTGGACGAAGTGAGCATGGTCAGTGCGAACTTCATTGCAGAGCTAGACTCACATTTGCGGTCGTGCATGTCAGCTGCGAGCGACACGAAGGTATGTGAAGACGGCGTAACCAGGCCCTTCGGGGGCGTGAACGTATTGTTCTGCGGGGATTTCTATCAATTGGAGCCGCCATCAGGGACAGCCATTAATGCGCTTCCGACGGCGTATTTGAAAAACGCGAGGAAGTACGCGCCGGGTGCCACGGAGGACCACGGACAGTATATTTTTTGGGGAGCGGGGGGCGACGGCGCAGTGCAGGGAATGACGGAGTTGACGGAGTGCAAGCGCGTGGAGGACCAGGACGACTGGTTTCTCGCAGTGCAGGACGAGTTCCGCCGAGGGGCGTTGTCTGAACGCACGCACAATTTTTTGCATGGCAGACCGACGGATGTTCCGGGGTCGTGGGTGAACGGTGCACCGTTGTGCGGAAACACGCGTTGTCTCGAAGACATAGAGGCAATTGCGAAGCAAAACGAGCTCGAATGTAACGGTTGCAAAGCTGAGCGGGAGAAGAGAAAGCTCGTTGCGACGTCGCCAGAAGACGCGCGGCTTCGGGAGGAGAAATTCCTTGAATCTGTCGCCATTTATGCAAATCAGGACATTCGTTGCCACGTCGGGAAGCAGAGAGCTGTGCAGTGGGCGAAGAAGCGCGGAGAACAGCTGCTGTGGGTCGCAGCCAGGGACCGCCCTTGCCACGGAGTGGAACAGAGGCGGCCGTACACGGTGGAGGATAAGATACGTAGGCTGGGGTACCACGAGAAGGAGTGCGCAAGCTTGCCCGGCTGGCTACCGTTGGCCAAGGGGATGCCCGCGGCTTTGGGTGATCACTTGGATCGGTCAAAGAAGCAGCATGTACGGGGCCGCACGGCGACGATCCATGGATGGGCGTTGCACGAGGATGAGGTCGTTGGAGATGAAGACGAGGAAGTTTTGATGCATCTGCCGAGAGTGATCGTGTTGGACTTCCACACGAAAGAGTGGCACCTGCCAGGGTGGGGGCCGGGGCTGTGTCCGATCTTCCCATCGAAAGGGCGGCAATGGTTCTTAGACGGATATCGGAAGCATCCAGTTTTGAGTGTGAAGCGCACGCAGTTCATGATCACCCTGGCTTTGGCAGTAACGGCGCACTCTGCGCAGGGCCCGACCATGGCTGCAGTGATAGCAGACCTTGAACGAGGGCGCGGCGTGAGTTGGATGTCGAGTTACGTTGCCATCACGCGCGTGCGGAGGCGGGAGAACTTATTGATTTTCAGGCCTTTCGAGAGAAAGCCGCACAACGCGGGGGAGATGCCAGGCACGCAGAAATTGTTGCAGGTGCTTCGCGGGGATAAAGTGGAGTGGGAAGAGTGGGAAGCGGAACTAATGCCACGGGACCAGTGCGGGCGCTGCCGGCGGAGGTTGTTGGTAAAGGCGTTCACGAAGTACGAGTTCCAGAGAAGGGGAAGGCCGGCGTTCTGCAAAGATTGCACGGAGGAAATGAAAAACGCTGACGAAAAATGGTGCACCACGTGCAGAGGGTGGGCAACGAAAGCAGAGGGTGATGACGCGGCGCGCCATGGTAGCGGTCGGAACGCGGACGCGGCGGCCGACGACGGGGGGACGAAAAGGGTTAGGACAATGTACTGCGCGAAGTTCAGCCATGTAAAAGCCAAGCAGAAGTCGCGGAGCGCCAACGCGAAGTGGAACGACAGCGTCGGGAAAGTGCGATGTACGAACGATACGCGCCTGTCGCTGTATGACGAAAAGGCGGAGATGTCGGAAGCTCAGAAGCATCACAACACAGCGGGCCAGAGGTTGTGTCGAAAATGCGCGGAAGAACGACAGAAGGCGGTTTTGCTGTCGAATTACGAGGCAGGGAATCGCAAGCGGAAAGCGGAGGCGGACGCGAAGCCGCTCACGGGCGCGGCGTGCGGAGGAGCGTTCTCGGACACGACGCATTTGAAGCCCAATCAAGTGGAGGATCATCGAGCGGCGAAAGGAGCGAAAGTGGCGTGCGGAGGCTGCAAGGAACTCGGGTTCACAGCCCGCAGTTACCAAGGGTATCAGTGCAGCGGCGCGTGCAAGAAAAGACTACCCAGGTCGGCTTTCTCCGTGAACCCTGCCAATGTCGCGCGCGATGCAAAAAAGGGCACACTGAAATGCAAGACTTGCAACTGATGTCCAATCGGACGTGCGTGCTGGGGAGGAGACGGTGGAGGGGGGAAAGAGAGTTGGGGGGTGAGGCGGAAAATGGGGGGAGAAGAATCTTGGAGGATGAGGGTGAGGCGGGGGGACAAGAGGAGGAGTGGGCGATGAGGAGGTGGAGGATGAGGCAGGAAGGGGGGGGAGGGCGGGGACACAGAGACGAAGCTCTGGGACATGGGTTATGGGTTAGAGGCTTTGTGTATGTTTATAGAGATCTCGAGGCGCGCCTCTCGGGGACCTCTGGACTGCAGTTTGAAACCCACTTGGCGGCCGAGGTGGAGAAGGAGGAGGAGGAGAAGGAAGAGGGGAACACAGACAGAATGTTCTGGGTTGTGGATTGTGGGTTAGAGGCGTCTTGCACGCGTTGTGGGGCCGTTTTGGAGCTTCTTGGGGGCAGGGTTGAAGCCGTTTTGGGGTTTCTGGGGTGCCTTTTGGGGCTTCTTGGGGGCGTCTTTGCAGCCTCTTGGGGCCTCTTGGGGCCTTCTTGGCCCATCTTGGATCGGAAGGTTCGGATTGTCGGTTCAAGCTCCCCGTCTTGGGCCCCTCTTGGGGCCGTCTTGGGGCCCTCTTGGGCCGTCTTGGGGGCCTCTTGGGCCGTCGTGGCGCCCTCTTGAGCCGACTTGGGCGTCTCTTAGGGGCCTCTTGGGCCGTCTTGGGGCGGTATTGGGGTGCTCTTGGACCGTCTTCAACGCCGTGAAGGCCGACAAGTCGTGTATAATGAAAATGTACGTTTTCCTATGGGAATTTGACGAATTTCGGCTCATCGGCCCTTCTGAGGATTGCTCTTGGAGGCCTCTGGGGCTGTCTTGGAGACGTCTCGGCTCGTCTTGGGGCCATCTTGGGCGTCTTGGAGCGCTCGTTTGGCGTCTCGGGACCCTCGTGGGGCGTCATGGAGGCGTCTTGGGGCCTTCTTGGCTCGTCTGGAGCCCCTTTTGGGTTCAAACGGGCCCCGTGATGCGCTCGTCCGGGGCGAGCCGGGGGGGGGTCAAATCGCCGGTTTGGCGTCCCAGGGGGGGGGCTATAGGGGGGGGAACTATCTCACGCGCCTAGAGACCCACAAAGGGTCGGCGGATTTCAGACGTCATCGCGTCGCTCCTCCGAGCCGCTGCCTTAATTTACCGGCGCAGATCCAACTGGCGAGGGGGGGCGCGCCACCGCGAGGCGTCGACGTCGACCTCGCGTGCCGTTGCCGTTCCTGTCCCCTGTTCTGCCCCCCCCCTTCTGGCACTGGGTTTCCTTGTCCTCTGGGGATCGACGCCCGGGGCCCTTTTCGGAGTCCGTTCGGGACGCGGGGCGGGCGGCGGCGGAAACGTTCGCCCGCGCGGATGCCGACTTGGAAAGGGCGGCCGATCAAAGGATGTTCGTCAGAGGCGCAGGGGTCGAAGCCCAGCGGTCCGTCGAAGTTGGGGCCGCGCAGCAAGGGTTTCGCTCAGGAGACATACTCGGGCTCCTGGCGCTAGGCAGAGGAGGTTGGCCCGAGGGCGATAGGGAGGAGGAGGTTCTGGGCGGGGGGCAGCGGGCGCCCGCGGCGTTGGCCATCCGAGCCAGCGGGCCCCCAAAGACACCAATTCCACGACGTCCCAATATCCGCGCCGACATCTTCGCGACCCCGTCTCTATTTTTGGAGTTTTCGAAGAAGGGCGCGAGAGGGGGGATGGATATGGGGCGAAAGCTACGGGCCAGAGAAGGGAGGGGCGCGAGGCAATCGCGCTTCGGAAGTCCCGCGCTGGCAGCTGGGGCAGTTCAGATGCGTTTTAGCTTGCCCCGCTCGGCCCGTCGCATCGCTTTAAGGCACCCGACATCGAGCTTGATATTTACAGCAGGGGGATCCGTACATTGTTTGAGACGGAGCCCGCGATGAAATCGTCCTGGTGCACGTATGTTTTAGCCCGGGACATCGAGTCGCACGCGGGCGCGACGGACCAGATTGAACGGTTGAGTTCCGAGGTGGCTACGCAGAGTCGGGTCAAGCGTGGAGCTGCACGAAGCATCATTCACACTGGGAGGCAGTCGGTGCTGCGACAAGCTGCGTGCGTGCACAAAACGCACGGTGGTGGGCTTGAGCCTTTGGGGAGGGTGGCATTTTCGCAAGTGTCCGAGGACGAAGTGTTGCACAGGATGCCCTTGCTGCCTTGCTCTTGCCTGCACCCTGAGAGCCCCTTCGCTCAATTCTATCGATGATGGGCCAGGTCCCTTCTTTGACGCTCGCGGGCATGTGCGCGCGCCCGTAGCGCTTGGCGCGGAAACAGCTGGCAGCACTATGGTCGAGTACGGAGTCGAGGACGACTTCGCCACCACGGTCCTGGAGCGGAGGCATAATCCCGCCATGTTCTGTAAGCTGGCGCCCCCAGGCGATGCACAGCAGCCCAACAGAGGCCTCAGTCGATGCATGTTGCAGTCCAACTCATACGTCCGCAGCGCAAAGGAGTGCAAGCAAATCGCTCTGGCCAAAGAGGAGGTGGCGGCAGCACGCGCAGCTTTCAAAGATCTGTGGGACAGCATGGACGACTATTCGGCCTTCGAGGAGGCGTACGAGGAGTGGAGACATGATATCAATGACAAAAGTGCCGATCCACTTCAGTATCGGCCGAGTCGGGGAGGTGGGTGCGCAGCTACCCTTTTCACGACGGACGAGATGCATTCTGACATCCGGTCGTTTGGATGGCCTGCCGACGACGTTGTCACGCGCGGGCGTGACTATGAAGCCAAAGCCGACGTGACCACGGGCATTGATTGGAGCCAGTACTCATCTTTCAACCTATTCGGTTTAGGCCGCATGGCTCGAAATGTGAACCGATCGGTAACCAGGGCCCCGCATGCCTTCAGCATCACTTGCGCTGCCGCGCGATGCCGCCACCGCGTTCGGGAGGGCGCGAGGGGGTGAGGGTGGGGGGGGGGGCGGGGGGGGCGTGCTTCGGAACCCCCTTCCAGAAGTTCTGTACTTGGGGGGCCCTGTTCAGCAGCTTGGAAGGCCGAGCACGCCGGAACCTCGTTGCAGACAATGGGCGCATCTTGGGCTCGATGCGTCGGGCCCCCCCCCCCCATGATTCGCTCGCGAAATGCAAGAGGGCCCGACACGCACCTGCCGCTGCCAGCGCGGTGGAGGATCATGGAGAAGGGTGTTCACAATTATTTGGAATCCCTTCCTCAAGGCGCCGCTGATTCAGGAGAGGTAATGTTGACGTTCGGAGGCGGTCGCGTCGACGGCCTGCCAGGCGTCCACAGGCATGCGCGCATTGTAAGCGGCGTCTGCTACAGCCCGAAAGTGTTCGACATCACGAAGCAGGAATTCTCGACGCTTCGCGTAACCCCGCCAGCCCATCCAGCAACGATGCCCTGGCGAGTGCACTGATCAGGGAAGTGGGGCAGCATGCATAGGAACGAAGGGTTGGGGAAGTCGTCGCGGCCCGATGGGGGGGGGGGGGAGGAGGAGGAGGAGGAGGAGGAGGAGGAGGAGGGGGAGGAGGAGGAGGAGGAGGAGGAGGAGGAGGGAGGAGGGAGAGGAGGAGGAGGAGGAGGAGGAGGAGGGGGGAAGAGTAGGAGGTGGAGGAGAGGGAGGAGGAGGATGAGTGAGAGTTTGAGCATGCGTAAAACGTAGGGTTTCAGGGAGTAAGTGCCTGGTGAGGGGGAAGGGTCTCTCCTGCTCTCTGTCCCTTTCCCCCTCCGCGGCCCCTTTGGGGCTCAAGTTTCTCTCTCGGGCCCCTGAGGGGGCGATCCGCGCGGGGGAGCGCGGCCTGCCCCGCGGACGAGTGTCCGCACAGGGGCCGAGAGCCATGGGGGGGTGAGGTGGAAGGTGCGAGGCTGCGCCAGCCCGGTGCCCGCAGGTGCTGGCCGGGGAGCAGCGCAGCTGAGTGTACATGATGGCGTTGCTGCCGATGCTCATCGGAGCTGTGGCGGCAGCCGAGATTGGCCGCAGGTGGCGGGCGCAGCCGGCGACGCCGGCCTTGCCGCCGGCGGCCCGCGCCGCGGACAGGACGCTGCCCGCGGAGGCCGTGACGGCCGACGGAGGGGCGTACGCGCCTCTGCTGCGGGCGCTGGAGGAGGACCAGCGGCGCCGCGGCATGGCGGCGGCTACGGGGGCGCCGCAGCGCCATGGCGCTCCCCCCACTGGGCCCGCGCCCAATGCCGGGAAGGGGCGAGGAGCGTCCACGCGGGCAGCAGTGACCCCGCCCCTCGGCGGCAAGGGGCGGCAGCATCCCACGGCGACGCCAGCCGCAGCCCAGCGCCCGGTTGAGGCTTCACCCACATCGGCGGGCGGAGGAGATGAGGGGAGCTCACGGCGGCGTGGGAGCGGGATGTGGAGCTGGCTCGCGGGCCGCCGGCGAGACCCTCCGCCGCGGCGGAGCACCGAGGACGCTGGCGGCCCAGACGCAGGAGAGGAGGAGGTGCGAGGCTGGTTCAGCTTTGGGGGAGTCAAGTTCGGAGTGAGTTGGCTCGGAGGCTGGATAGCGGACTTGCCGCCAACGGAGATACAGTGGTCAGATCTGATGTGGGGCGGTGGCGGCCTGGTCGGGAGTGGGCTCAACACGGTGGGCTACGCGGCATTCGGCACAGGTTGGCCCTTGTTGTGCTGGACCACATTTGCAGGACTGATCGTGGCGCTCGTCATCGGCTTGGGATACGGCTTACACTCCATCGCCTCGGCAGTCGACGTGTTGGTCTGCGCGCCACTCCGTTGCCTGGGACGGGCGTTGGGACTGTGCTGTCCGACTTCGAAGCCACCAGTCGCAGCGGCCGAGGAAGGAGTGGTACCAGAGCTTAGGGGACCAGTCACCACCATTGCTGTGGAAAACGAGTTCTACGCCCAGCTCCGCGCAAAGGGGGCCGACAAGGTGCCCCATCACCTGATCATCAAGGTGGGCGACACCGCCGCGAGGCTGGAGAGGCCACCTTTGAATGCTGGGATTAAGTATAAGAAGGCAGGAGTGGCATGGCCGTACCGCGAAGTGCTCGCTACCACTTCAAGGCGACTCCGTGACCTGCTAGAGGACTCCCAGGACAAGGTGGTGCACCTGTGCAGAGACGCCCTGCACGGACGTGGGCAACTACGCGGTGCATGCCCCGGCGTACGGGTACGTGACCGCTGAGACGGACACCAACTTGGAGGCGCTGGTGGAGGCGGCGCCGAAGCCTTGTTGGGCTGGACGGGCAGTGGGGGCAGCGGCTGCATCGTGTGGGCGGGGCTGTGCCGCTTTGGGGTTGAAAGGGTGTGCCAGGCTCTGTGGGCCCCTCAAGCGTTGCGGCCAGAGGGGCTGCCAGCGCGGCCGGCGAAGCAGAGCAGACACCCCAGCCGCCCTGTTGAAAGACCCGAACTCGGAGACGGAGTCGGAGCCGGAGCACCAGCGCTGTATGGCCCACGAGGTGCTGCACCAGGAGGGTGACACGATATTCCAGCTGTGCAAGGAGAAGTGTCGAGATCGAGCCCGAGGTGCCCCAGTCCGCCTGGTCACGGAGGATGGCGAGAAGTCGAATGTCAAGGGGGCGGAGAAGGTGGTCAACCTGTGCTGGCAGCACACGAACGCCTACGAGCGCGAGAGAGGAGTGAAGAAGTGCGCGCACCTCGGCTGCCATGCGTTGGGTCGGGTTCTGAACCGCGGGGTGCTGACGTGTTTGGAGCGCGACCTGGCGAATGAGGAGACCGCTCGACTTGTCGCCGTCGCCGAGGGGCCGGCGCCTGTGGTGGCGGGAATGGCATCCGAGCAGCCCACCCGGTACAGGTCGAGGTCGCCTACGCCGACAGCTGGGAGGCCCATCCTCCCCTTGGTGTCGGCGAGTGGGGCGTGGCTTACGGCCATGGCGCGGGGCCCACGGGGTACAGAGATGGCGAAGAAGTACAACTGCTACGGGTGCCAGCTGGCGGCCGAGGAGGATGGCTGGACTACGAACCGTATCCCGGGGCTCGAGGCCCAGGCGACTGTCCCATCCAACCTGGGGCCGGTGATCGACGACCGGGTGCGCGCCGAGGCTGCCACCGCCGGAGCGCCCGCCATCATCGCGCGGACGGTGAACCAGATACCCGGCGGAATGGACGAGCACGGCCAGACAGCTAGCCCGGTGGCTCAGGCGCTGGCGCGGGGCGCGACGGGGAGGGAGGACCACCCCCTGTGCATCCTGACACGGGGGATCGAGGAGGCAGGAGGGCGAGACGAAGGACACGCTCGGAGGCACCCGCCCCCGACTTCCCCGACATACCCAACACAGCCACCGTGGAGAGACACGATAACTCGAGGAGAGCTGGGAGGACTACTGAATGGGGCGGCTCGGGAGCGCTGGCGTCGTCGAGGGGCGGCGGCCTTGGCGTTGGAGTTCCCTGGCGTCGTCGAGGGGGGGCTCGGCGAGGGCGAGGGGAGCGCTGGCGTCGTCGAGGGGAGGCTCGGGGCGCAGAGCGCCGCTACGCCGACGTCGCCGACCACTTCGGCTTCTCCATGACAGTCGTGCGCCCGCAAGCTTCGCGGCAGCGTGCTCGCTCACTCGTGCCGGAAAGTAGTTCTGCCATATGCGGGGCCGTTGCTGCGCTGCGGCTGTCCTCCCAGGCACAGATTCGGCGGTCGTGTGGAGAGGTTTCAGTCGGCACGTTCTGCCGACGGCGCAGTGGGTGCGCCGCGTCGAGGAAGTCGAGGGCGCGCTGTTGCACATCACTTACAGCGGTGAGGGCGCACTCGGCGTCGATCTGACAACTGGAGGGAGATTCTGAAGACCGCGGCCGACAGTTTTTCCCCGAGATGTGCTCGCGCCGCCTCGGGGGGGGGGGGGGGATGTATCGCACTAGTCTGAGAGAGAGAGTGTGTGTGCGTTGACATGGAGCGAAGCGAATATGTATACGGAAGAGTATCAGGAGAAAGTATACGACATCACATATACTCTCTCGTAAGTATCTGAACATCGCGGTCACCTTGCACTCGCCGTTGCGATTTGTCGACGGCCGCTCGCTTCATCGGCTCAAGATTGTAGCAAACGTGGCTCGGCGTTGCCGGCCTGTTTTGACTTCCCCGCCCCCTCCCCTGTCGTGGATCAGCATTGCTGTCCTGTGATCTCTCTCTCCTAGATTTTCGTGTCATGGCCGCCGACGACCAGCGCGTTGCTGCCACCCATGCGTGTCTCAGTTTGGCTCTGAATGCGATGGGGGCACACGTGCCGACCAGCGTGCAAGGCCCATTCCGCGCGCTCGAGCACGGGAACCAATGGCTGTCGCATCTCGGCTTCGCCTTGATCCGGCAGCCGCGGGGTCCGACTGGTCCAGGGCGTTGCGTCAAGTGGGGGCCGCCGCGGCGCGAAGTTGGACTGGCTGCTAGCGTCGGCCACTTCGCGGCCGTCATTCTGCGGCCCGGCAGCGCAACTGTGGTAGACCGCCGAGCAGGTCTGCCAGCGGTTCGCGAGTGGCGCGCGCGGGGCGACATTCCGGACGTCGAGGAGCACAAGTGGTTCTTGTTGGCGGAGCTCGGCGCACAGAGGCCGGGGCCCGAGGGCGGCCGCCCTCTTCCATGGGGCACAACTTCGGGGATCATCGAAGCTAATCGGCTGGACGCACTCATCCGTCGGCGCGCAGCTCGCGAACGAGCGGGCCCCTATGGGTCGGCTCGTCGTCGGGCTTTCTCGCGCCGCAGGAGGCAGCCCGGGTATCGGCGAATCGAGATGAGGCAATGCGGCGCAGATCTTTGCGCTTGTTCTGCCCGTTGCCGCCGGTGGGGTGGCCCAGCACTCAGGTGCCCCAAGTTCCGCGTGATTTCTCCCTCGAGCTGCCGCGTCTTCCGAAGATCCGCCTACTCGAGCGACTCAATGCTCGCCCTCGGGACGCTCAGTTGCACTTCGTCGAGGAGTCGCACTCCTACTACATTCGCGGCGTGCGAACCCATGGGTCAGTGACGGGGTTGATACACGAGTACTCTCGAGGTTTCGACGCTGTCGCAGTGATCGAGAAGATGCGGAGCGGGCGGAACTGGCCGCGACCTGATTATTTGCGCTGCCCTCGCCCCGAATACGCGCTCGCGAAGCTGCGGACCATGCCGGAGGCTGCTCGCTTGCACGACTTACTTGTTTCGCGCGGGGCCTGCGACGCCGAGATCTGCGCCGAGGTGAAAGCAACTGCGAGAGCGGCGCCCCACCTGGCATGCCTGATGGAGAGTTTATCTCTCTCGGATCAGGAGATCGCGGAGAAACGGCGCATGAACAAAGAAGAGGCGGCTAGGCGGGGCACCTGGATGCATTGGACGTTCGAGGCCCACCTCAACCGCGTTCCAGTGCCCCGCGATGCCGTAGAATTCCAGTTGTTCTCGAAATTCCTGGGCGCGCTGAGAGGTCTGGCGGCTTTCCGCACCGAGTGGGCCATCTTCGCGGAGCACGAGGGGCTTGCTGGGTCAATCGACCTCGTGGCTCGAGACTCCGCGGGCAGTCTGTACATATACGATTGGAAGCGGGCAAAGAGTTTACGTTCGAAGTTCACGAACCAATGGGATAATATGAAGTTTCCATTGAGCCGGTTGCCAGACTGCCAGGGAAATCATTACCGGGCCCAGCTTAACATCTACAGGTTGATGTTGGAGCATTGCTACGGCGCCCGCGTGGCCGCGATGTCTGCGGTCTGCCTGCATCCGGACAACGGCGACCAGCCATTTGTAGACGACGTGCCGGTGATCCCAGAGATCGAGGAGCTCATGGCCATTCAGCGCGCGAGGTCCCGAGAGTTGCGGGCAATGGCGTCGGAAGACGCCCGCGAGATAGACCCTGCGGGCGGCTGGCGACGGCTAGTCGCGGCGGCGCGCATGCCTTATTGCCTGAGCACCGCGGCCAATTTCGGTCGTGCGTTTCGCCGGACATCAAGGTCGCGCCCTGGCGAGGCCGCGGCAAAGGCGCGCCGCCCTCTTGAGGTGCCGTTGGAATTGCCGAATGCCGACTTGCAACGGTTGAGAATTGCGCGCGTGGGTTCTGCGGAGGCCACGGTGACAGCCGCGTGCTCTCATGCTTCGCGGAAGTACTGATGCCTTCGCATGAAGGAACGCATGGGTGCGACGCTTGCCTTGCAAAAGGATATCCAATTCATATTCACAATCGCCAAAGCGAGGGGGGAGCACTCAGGGGCAGCATGCGTTGCGCGTCATCATCGCGCAGCGAATGCGGGCGCTATTCGCATTGCCCAACAGGCGACGCGCGCAGAGTCCGCTCGGGAGTAGCATAGAATGCGATTATTCTCCGGCGCGCGTTCCGGCGAGGCGGGGGGGGGGAGGGAAATCAGCACGGCCGCTCGCTTCATCGGCTCGAGATTGTAGCAAACGTGGCTCGGCATTGCCGGCCTGTTTTGACTTCTCCGCTCTTTCCCTGATTGTGGATCAGCGTTGCTGTCCTGTGACCTCTCGTTCGCACCTCGGCGCCATGGCCACCGACGGCCAGCGCGCTGCTGGTTTCCCGTTTCTGAGCCAGAACTCCCCTGAGTTCGGCGACCCGACCCCGCGCGGGAGGGCTTGCCAGCGGCGCGCTGTGTCTGGCGCCCGCTCGCTGACGCCTTCGCGCAGGAGGCGTCGAATGTCCTCTCGGGCTGCGCGCGAGGCTGCAGCGCGAACCCCTCCATCGTCTCCGGAGAGAGACGACGCCGCTGACATCGAGGCTTTCGCGCTGATGGTATCCCTGGTATCAGATGAAGTATGCTACAGAATTCTGTCATTCTTCCCCGCGGTGCGTAGACGGACACTAGCGCGTCGTTTTGCAGGGGGCCAACAGCTTCGCCCAGACACAACGTTTATACTGGTGAAGCTTCTCAGTTCGAGCAGGCCCAGGGCCTCGCGTGGCCCGCGCGGCGCCGGACTGCCCGGAGTTCTTGCTGTTGTGCCTCGCTGGTTTCAGCCTGCCAACGCAGAACTTGCCTCGGTGACGGCTCCCAGCCCCGTTCACGATCGCTGTTTCACTTGCGGGTTGGATGACGGTGACGTCGACGGCATCGGCCACTATCTGGAGGGGTGCGTGGCCACGGTGAGATCATTCCCGTTCCCCGAAGCGACCCATTTGCGCGCGACGATCTCCGCGTGGGCAATGTTGGCGCAGCGATTGGAACCTCGCGGCGACGCATTCACATGCGCGCGGCGCAGCTGAGTCTGCGTCGCCCGGGAAGACACCCTGAACATAGATTTCGCTGCCGATATGCTCAGACTGCACAGGCGATGCGCGGCTTGAGAGCGGGCAGGGACGTGGGCTGACTCGCGCCCGCGACTGGACTCGGGGAGACGCAGCGGCGCCGGCGCCATTGCGCGGGCCCCAGTCGAGCGCGGGCCGCGACGTTCGATCGGCACTTTGCGCGGACAAAAGCGCAACATTTCCATCATCTCTATATTTTCTCCCCGCCTTCTCATGTGTCGAACGTGGCGTGGAGATTTCATGTCGCTCGATATCCCCTGTAGTCGAGCTCTTGCACGTTCGACGTCAGCGCCGCTGATGGATCGTTGTTTATCTCTCCTCATCGCTCTCCGGCTCAAGACGCGCGTTTCCTGTGGGTTGGCTTTGCCGCCCTGCGTTTTCTTTGTCGCGCCACCCGTGGGTCGGCTTTGCCGCCCTGTCTTGTTTTTTTCCCCCCACCGACTCCCCGCGCTGTCTCACATGCGCGGCGCACTCGCTCACCAAGGGCAAGACGGTGCAAGGCTCGCGCCGGCGCCGGCTGGGAGACGGATCAGAGGCAAGAGCAGGGCGGACGACGTCGGCGAAGGCTGGGTGTGCCTCGCGGCCGAGCAGCGCGAGCCCCACGAGCTCGCGGACGTGGGCCCGGCGGATGCACCCGAGTCCCCGAGCGGCGATGAGGGCGAGACAGCAGCGCGGACAGAATTGTTCGAGTGCCTGGAAAATGAAGTCAAGAGTTACGCTGCGGGGGTGACGCTCCTGCGCCCCAAGCGGAACAGCGAGGGCATGAAGTTGAAAATTGCATGCAGTCTGTGCCCGTTCCGATCGTTCTCGGCGCAGGCGCTGCTGGCCACGCACGTCTCCAAGTACCACCTCAGAAAGACGCGTTTCGTGGCCTCTGGCACGAAGCAGTTTAATGTCGTGTGCGCGTTGTTCGACAACGACCTGCTGCTGCGAGCCCCAACGGGGAACCTTCTGAAGCGGTCTGCAGGGATCTTGCGCGAGACAGTATCTCCTGCTGTTCATTGCGGACAGAACGCCATTGACAAGTGCATTGTCCTGGTCCTCGACGACGACGGGCCGTCGTATCATAACAAGGCAGCAGTGGGGCAGAATCTCGCGTGCAGACGAGTGGGGTACACGTACTACACCCTTGGCTTCGCCGATATCCTGTTGCAGGAGTCCTTGCGCCACCACGGGCGCGCGCGCCTGGCGATGCCGCGGACGTGCGCTCGCGTCGTGGAGCAGGGCTCCGAGTTGAGCAGCATGCTGCCGACAGATGTCGCTCATTGGCTAAAGTTTATGGAAGACGTTCAACAGCGCGCACGTAGAGAGGCGCAGCGCTGCGTTGATGGAAGACTGCTACCGGCATGAGGAACTCCTCCACATCTCCATGGACGCCACTATCCACATTCTGCGCAATGTCAAGGGCCAGGCAGACTATCGGTCTGCACAGGCAGTGCGCGGCGCTGCACCCGTGCCGGACGTGGACGCCAAGCGCCGCGTCCTGACTCTCGCGGGCCGAGCGGGCGCGGCGCTCGGTGTTTTCCTGACGAAGGACGAGGGGGCTGATGAAATAGCCGGAGCCATTGCAGCTCGTTGGTCGGCGGCGTGCAGATCGCAGACGGCGTCCGTCGCCAGTGACCAGCCGAGCAGCGCGCTATTCCGCGCCTTGCGAGGTTCATGTTTTCCAAATTTATCGGTCTTGAGCCTCGTCATGGTCATGGTGATGCTGGTCATGGTGATGATGATGCTGATGATGATGACGATTACGATGATGCTGATGATGCTGCTGATGATGATGATGATGACCACCCCGACGGCGATGATGATGATGAGGAGCATTCGGATGAGGATGAGGATGACGATGATCATGAGGAGGAGGATGATGATGATGGTGGTGGTGGTGGTGGTGATGGCGATGGTGGTGGTGATGATGATGTGCCCAATCGATCTGCAGTACATCTGGGATGACGTCTCCAGTCGATGATGTCTCCAGAGGGATATGGGGGGAGAGAGAAATCGGGGATCGGAGAGGACAATTATGAGGACCAGGAGGAGGAAGGGGGGGGGAGGAGGAGGAGAGGAGGGGGAGGGAGAGAGGGATAAACAGTAAACGCATGATGATGGATAGGAAGAATATGAGGATAAGGAAGAGGAAGAGAAGAGGAACGGTTGCGGCGACGGAGGAGGTGGATGATGAGAAAGAGAGGGGCGCACATTATACCACAATCCTCCCCACATATATATATATATATATGTGTGTGTGTGTGTTTGTATACATATTCTGTCCCTTTGAACTCGCAGGCGGCCGCCGCGGGTGCCCATTCTGCCCGCGCCGCGGCCGCCCGCCCTTGTTTCACCTGTTTCGCAGTTTCACCCAACGCTTCCCCGCCTCCGCTCCCTCCTCATTTGGCGCGACGGCCGACAGTGGCCACACGCGCTGCATGAACAACCGTGTTTGCACACACACGCATTCCACTTTCGTTGAAAAGAGGCCCCCATTCTCTCAGATTTCCCGCTTTCCCCCCTTCCCTCCGCTCCCTCCTCTTCCTCGTCATTCCTCCTTTCGTCCCTCGCCATTCCTCCTCGATCGCGCGGGCCCCCATCATCCCGCCACCGAGGGCCCCGAGTGGCAGGGTTCGCATGCGTCTGCTCCCCGCCCACAGCGCGCATATTTCGGCACACACCTCGCGCGGTTCGTGGTCACGTAGGGAGGCTCACCGAAAGCCTCAGCGGCAGGGTTCACATGCGTCCGCGTCGTTCATTTCGGCGCACTCTCACGCGGTTCGTGGCCGCATAGGGACTTACCCCTCCTTCGTCCGAGCTGCCTTGTGGTACTCACAACTGCCTATTTTTTTCTCGCTAGGCATTTTTGTTTTGCGCGGGCGGTCTGCCGACCCCCCCCCCCCCCCCCCCTCAAAAAAAAAAAAAAAAAAAAAAAAAAAAAAGAAAAGAAAAAAAAAAAAAAAAAAAAAAAAAAAAAAAAAAAAAAAAAAAAAAAAAAAAAAAAAAAAAAAAAAAAAAAAAAAAAAAAAAAAAAAAAAAAAAAAAAAAACGCCCGCGCGGGCAATCCCGCCCCCCCCCCCCCCCCCCCCCCCCCCCCCCCCCCTGTACATGCTAGTTAGGTCGGGAACGGCCTGCTGACGCACTGGCGCTGATGAGCCATAGTTAGCGCGCGCTTGAAGCACAAATTCACCGTGCCGTCTTCGTAGTCTGTCGAGTCAAAGACGAGTTGCCCGTCGGCGCCACCCTACCCTCATCCCCTTGATCATCCCCCTCCTCCTCCTCCTCCCCCTCATCCTCCTCCCCCTCCTCATCCGCTGGGGGATGGATCTGAACCCCAAGGGGCCCCATGCTCCCCAAGAGGTGAGGCTGGGTCTGAACCCCGAGGGGGCCCAAGATGTTCACGACTCATGAACCGCTACTGCGACGTGCCACATATGCGTCCACATTCGCCGCGGGCGCAGGGAGGTGCGGGAGGGGGAGTAGGGGAGGGGGGTGGAGGGGGGGGACGGGGGAGAGAGGGATAATGATGAGACGGGAGGGGGGCGAGGCAGGATGGGAGGAAAGAGAAATGGGGAGAATGCGGGAGGAGGAGGAGGACGAGGAGGATGAGGCGGGGGGAGGAGGAGGAGGAGGAGGAGGGGGAATACGAGGCGGAGGAGGAGGTTCCATTTCAGACGCGGTCAGCCCCCCCCCCCCCCCCCCCCCCTTTCCCCTCCCCCACGCCCCTCCCCAGGTGGCATCGGTACTGCGATAATGTATTACCTGTTGTCAAAATGGGGCGCTCTTGTCGCTTCTAGTCGATCCTTTCCACAGGGCCGTGAACGACATTAAGGGTGCGCGCAGGCATGCGCGCGGCGGCTTGTTCAGA